ACAAATATTATAGATAATTGTATGCACTTTCAATACAAGCTAAGTAATTACATTTTTTATTATTTTTATTTTTTTTTTCATTAAAATACTAATTATCATTTTACAATTACAGGAAATTAAAAATGAAAAACACAATTATTAAAAGTATTCCCGGTAAGAAATTTTTCAATAAATTCCTTTCGATTTTCTTCATTTTGTGCATTTTCCTGACGAATGTTTCACGGCTCAATTTCACCCAACACATTTCATGTTTGTGGCTGCAGCGGCTTATTGGTGGTGGTTGCTCCTGGCGGGTCATTAGTGGTTGCTCCTGGCAGGTCATTAGTGATTGCTCCTAGCAGGTCATTGGTGTTTGCTCCTAGCGGGTCATTAGTGTTTGCTCCTGGCGGGTCATTAGTGTTGCCTTCTGGTGGTTCATCATAGTCGCTGGTTGCTCCTGGCGGTTCAAAGTCGTCATTTGACGATACTTCAAGCTTATCGATACCACTTGCAAGTGATACTATTGAGCTTCCCCTTTTAAGTAAAGAACTTGCCAAAACAAAATCGCCATTTGATGGCGTTTTATTTTCTAAAAAAAAAAAAATAAAAAAAATAAATCGAATTGTTACAAAAAATTTAAATTGGAATTTAATAAATACCTTTGAGTGATTCTTCATTTTTATTTATAAATGTCAATGTCTTTAAAAATCTGTTAAGGCCCTCTTGCTGCATGATAGACTTCGGTCGTTCATATGATGCCAGACCCTTCTGTGACTTATGCCTCGTAATTGACATGACCACAGCATCGGAATAGCCAAGTCCCTTTAGCACTTGAACTGCAGTTTTTCTTTCTGAATGGTTTGACAAATTGCGACCTCCAAATTCTATATCCGTTGCTTCACAAATAACCCGAAAGTACGACCTTAATCTTTTTTCACCCATTGCTTGACCGTAAAACCATTGGCCACAAAATTCAACTTGTAAAAAAAAAAAAAATTAGAATAAAGAAATAAAAAAAATGCTAATATTAATATAGATGCTTACCCGAGCTTGCTGACATAGGTTTCAAATAAAAATTTGACACCACCGTAACTGGACGCTTAACAAAATAGAACTCATAGTCATCAATTATACTTTTGATATTTGGTAAACTGATGACCTCAGCTTGACCGTCGTAATCTCCAAGTCCTCGTTGATTTGTTTTTGATCTATACAATTTCACGTCGATTCCTCCATCAAGCCATTTTACAAAGCTACCTATCTGAAGATCATAATGTTCACCGCCCCGCAGGGCCAAAAGAATAGAATTATAAAAAAAAATACGCTGCAATAGCCCTTCTGGATTATCACGTTGCATAGTATGGTGGGAGAGAATTTGCTCAACTTCTTGCAAGGTCAACCCATCTGACCCGGCACGTTCGCCTAAACCTTTCGCTGATAGATTTTTCAATTTACCATTAACAATGGTATTCAAATCAAAATATATCTTAGAGTTCAGAATTTCTACAGGCTTCGGCATCACTGAATGTTGATTTAGGTGCCGCCAGATCGCAGCCATACAGTTACGGATTGAAGACGAATGGTATTCACCACCATCCTTTTTTTTCATAGCACACACAAATTTTGATAGTTGGTCTTCAAGAACCTCTTTCGTATCGATTTCTTCGATTTTGCCTTCATAGCCCACATCAGAACGAAATTCTTCAAGGGCCTTAACCCAAACCTCTGTTGCTTTATGTGTTGCTTGTACCCTTGCATTTCCACGAATGGCTTCAAGTTCGCCAAAGGTAGGTTCCGTATACCTAACTCGCTAAGTTACATATTAGTTATTTTTTTGTGGTAAACAAACTAAAGTTCAAAAAACTAGAAAAAAAAGTTACCTTATTGCTTATTAAAGAGGGCTCTACATTACTAGTGCACTATCTTCAATTTCAACATTACCGTTCACATTTGACTTATCATTACTGTTCACACTACTCTCCACAGTTGGAATGGCATTCCTTTTCGCTTTACTGGCCCTGGTGCTTTTGATCACGGTTGAAACAGCTTCGGTCATTGCATTTTTGTTTCCAGATGATGAAATGGCATTCATTGGGGTTCACCTTTGATTTCGGAATTACAAGGTAGGCACAGCTTTCGGAACACTTTTTACAATATTAAAATGTAAAAAAAATTTTTTTTTTTTAAAGAAAGTATAGCCACGGAAAAAAAGTACTGCGCCAGACAAAAGAGAAAAGAGATCTTTTTTTTTTTATATGATTATCATTTTTAGATCTAAAAGCTATATATAGGGGGTAGTGGATCGGGGCCATTATCATAAATAGTCGGATAACACCAATATTGGGTAAATTGTCGAATAACGGTAATTTGACTCAACCTGACAAATGATCGGCTGACACGTGCCGCGAAGCGGCACGTGTCAGCCAATCATTTGCCAGGTTGAGCCAAATTACCGTTATTCGACAATTTTTACCCAATATTGTATACGTACTAACTACAATAATAAATTAAAATTTTAATAAACAAAAACACCATCCATTAAAACTTATTACTGCCCAATTTGTGTCTCTTTTATTTTCAAAAACGTACATCTCTTCATTTCTTTATAACTTCTAGTCTATAGTATTATAGTTATTCGAATTCATAGAACTAATTGCATGCCTTTTTCATAACATATTCCAAAAATTTTTTATAGTAGTAGTTCATCAAAGTTCAAATTAAATACGAAATAACGAGAACATATTGGTCTTAAAAGTTTGGGTAAAGATTCAAAATGAATATCAAATATGTAGAGATAATAAAATAAATACGTAATATACAGTTTATAAAAAAAAAACTTTAAACGAACCGTCGAAAGAGTTCATTTTTAAAAGTTAACTAAGGTCTCTACATACTCAATTTATATATAGAGCATTAAATAATTTACAAATTTAAAGAAAATAGATAACCTACAAAGTACGTACTGTTGACGAAATGCAAAGTATTCAGTAAAGTAGTACTGTACGGAAGTACAGATTAGAACGGACATACGAAAATTATACTAGATTTTGATCGCACGTACGATTAATATAGACTTGTAAAATTCAATTTTATAAGTGACCTTTTTAATGGTTAGAGATAGAGCAAGCGCCTATCATTGTTCTTTTTCGTGTTAGAGTAAGAGCAGGTAGAAAGAAAAGTAACTTCGGTTTGACTAATTTTTCTTTTACAAACCGTACATACTATCATGATTTCTACACGTCCATTCTAATTTACGTTTCTGTATTGTGCTACTGTATTTTACTGTATACCCCGAAATGCATGAAAATTTTTATTCAAATGAAATGTATGTACGTACGATAAGTAAACAAAGATCAAATAAGTATCAGGTATAAATTGCAGATTACTACGACAATAATCTGGCAAACATATATGCGTCGGAAAAATTGCCTTTCCACATCTTTTTGAAAACAGCTGTAATCGGTGGTGATGAGAATCGTTTGAAATCTTAAATTTTAATTGATTACTAGTTGTAACCCGTCGCTTTGCTGCCGGAACTTTTACTATACTTACTTAAGCTAAATGAAAAAATAAAATTAAATAGAAATAACATGAATGATTTGATAAAAAGATAAAATTAATATATAGTATTAATGAACTTGATTAACCTATTTTAAGTATTTAGATCAAACAAATCTGAATATCTTAAACACAAATAAATAATTATTCTTGCTCGGTTCAATTATTTATTCGAAGGAAATATACTATGGGAGTAGTGCCATGCTGCGGCTCTACC